CTAGTTAAAACTATCTAATAGGCTACACCACAAAGCAAGGAAAGGGTTAAAAATTGTCTCTGAGCCCGGTAAAATACAATGGGAAATGATCTTATTCCGCCCACTTCAGCCAACATTTCTGTTGGACCCAGCAGTCCCCAAGGCCCATGTACTGCGGGCATGTTTAGGTCGTGACTATTGTCACCCAGAGGGCCCTTTGTCCAGTGCCCTTCCCTTACAGATGTATAAAGCTGGACCCCTGCAGGGTGAAGGGACTTGCCTCCAGCCACGTGGATGGTTGGTAATGCCTCTGAGCCCACCACGGAGTCCCTTCCTGTAGCAGACACTGACACAACCACACACGCAGTGACTTGGTAGTGTTCTGTGCTGGCTGAGACACAATCGGTCCATGGAGACTTGGCCCGCCAATCCTCTCTGTAGACCCCGATCAACTTGCATGCCCACAAACCAGTTAGATGCTGCCCCTACCTCCTTGCTCAGACAACAGTAAGCAAACTTCTCAGAGGAAGACAGATAAATCATCAGCCTTTTCCTTCCGGGAAGCGCTCGGTGTAAACAGAGTCCATCTGGTCTCTGCCACCTTGTCAGATCAGGATCACGATCATGGTTGGACCTTTCCACTTGCTTCTTATGCATAACAAGCCATGTGGCCCACTGTGCAGTTATCTAACTGAAATCTCAACATTTAGCCCGTTATCTTGCTTTCAAGGAAACAAAGTAATTGCTTATCAACCTGTCATTCCCAAGCTCACTCCAATCTTTAATTTCACTCCGGCAATAAGGCAGATTTGTTTTCCTTTGCAAATCCTTGCACAGCCTGGCATGCAATAGAAAGCAAGTACGGCCTTCCATAGCTCATGGCCCTAGAAGCAGAAGAGGGCTTAGCCTAAGGCAGGCTAAATTTCATCATGATTTCAAAGCCCTGGCTTGCTAACATTTCTTTAGTTTTCCACTGAACTGCTCTTCCTGACCAGGACCCTCCACCGGATCACACAACTCGACACAGTTAACCATCGATCTCTCCTCTGCCCTCATCATCAGCCTCTTCATTCTTCTTGCTTCTTCCTCTGCACTTTAGAGCAGCAGCCCGGTCTTAAAAATAGCTCCCCCCTTGATCCTGCCTTCTCTTTCATCTCTGATGGTATTCCTTTTTCCCTTTCACTTCTAGATGCCTTTGGAATATGAAGGGAAAAAAATTCGCACTTCAGCAAATTTAATAATAAAACAATAAAAATATAAATGGCAAAAGGAACAAATATTTATTGAGCACTTACTTTGTGCTGAGCACTCAGCTAAATAACCTAGCACGCATGACCTCAGAATGAACAAATCTTTTGTTTTGCAAGCTATTTTTGTCTCAAATGAGGGCCTGTAGAAACATAGACTATGGTTGGTTTCAGTACAATCCATTCTCAAAAATGACAGGAATCAATTGTGTGACCGTACTACCACTTCCAAACAGCCCCTGGCTGTGTGACAACGATACTTTAGAAGCAAACTATCTGGCTGTATAATGTTTGCACTATTGCAAGTAGTGTGAGGAGGGATGACCACCTCTCCCCTTCTGCCCTAAGGCAACCATAAGACAAAGCTATCTTAGGTCTGCTCTTACACCACAACTCACACCTCAACAACTCTCACACCAACCACATCACCCCTACTTGAAAATGTGACACAAATGTGAAGCTGTACAACACCACGACCCAGCAGCCACAATATTAACAGATAGAAAGAAATACATGAAAACGTGAGCTGAAAGTCCTTCACGTGCATCTACAAAGTTCTTATTAAATCCAACAGCCTGGGATGGAGACTTCCAATAATGTCATTTTAAGGAAATGCCACTGGAGGATGAAGATAACTCCTGAGTCTATGATCCTGTATGTTTTGCACACCCAGTTTTCCCTGTTTAAAAATGGTTTGGCCACTGAATACTTATCCACCCATTCTATTAGGGTACTATCTGAACTTGGTCTCCCTGAAATCTTTCTCCCTTCTGATCATCTTCCTCCCACACACTGTAATCGTGATAGTTTTAATAAAAACATTTGAATAGCATTAGGAAACAGACATGTCAACACTTATCTCTGGTGCCCACTAATATATCACAAGACAAACAGGCGCTCAATAAATGTGATTTAACAAATACATAAATTATTCAGTGATCAGGAAAAGGATAAAACAGGAAGCTTATTGTTGCCTATCAATCAACATTTTATTTATTATACTTTAAGTTCTGGAGTACATGTGCAGAACCTGCAGGTGTGTTACATAGGTATACACGTGCCATGGTGGTTTGCTGCATCCATCACCCCGTCATCTACATTAGGTATTTCTCCTAATGCTATCCCTCCCCTAGCCCCCAACTCCCTGATAGGCCCCAGTGTGTGACGTTCCGCTACCTGTGTCCATGTGTTCTCATTGTTCAGCTCCCACATATGAGTGAGAACATGACATGTGGTGTTTGCTTTTCTGTTCCTGTGTTAGTTTGCTGAGAATGATGGTTTCCAGCTTCATCCATGTCCCTGCAAAGGACATAGACTCAACCTTTCTTATTGCTGCATAGTATTCCATGGTGTATATGTGCCACATTTTCTTTATCCAGTCTATCATCAATGGGCATTTGGGTTGGTTCCAAGTCTTTCCTATTGTGAATAGTATTACAATAAACATATGTGTGCATGTGTCTGTATAGCAGAATGATGTATAATCCTTTAGGTATATACCCAGTAATGGGAATACTGGGTCAAATGGTATTTCTGGTTCTAGGTCCTTGAGGAATCACCACACTGTCTTCCACAATGGTTGAATTTACACTCCCGCCAACAGTGTAAAAGCGTTCCTATTTCTCCACATCCTCTCCAGCATCTGTTGTTTCCTGACTTTTTAATGATGGTTATTCTAACTGGTGTGAAATAGTATCTCATTGTGGTTTTGATCTGCATTTCTCTAATGACCAGTGATGATGAGCTTTTATTTATATGTTTGTTGGCCATATAAATATCTTCTTTTGAGGAGTGTCTGTTCATATCCTTTGCCCACTTTTTGATGGGGTTGTTTTTTTCTTGTAAATTTAAGTTTCTTGTAGACTCTGGATATTAGCCCTCTATCACATGGATAGATTAAAACAATTTTCTCCCATTCTGTAGGTTGCCTGTTCACACTGATGATAGTTTCTTTTGCTGTGCAGAAGCTCTTTAGTTTCATTATATCCCATTTGTCAATGTTGGCTTTTTGCCATTGCTTTTGGTGTTTTAGTCATGAAGTCTTTGCCCATGCCTATGTCCTGAATGGTATTGCCTAGGTTTCCTTCTAGGGTTTTTATGGTTTTGGGTCTTCGTTTCGGTCTTTAATCCATCTTGAGTTAATTTTTGTATAAGGTATAAGGAAGGGGTCCAGTTTCAGTTTTCAGCATATGGCTAGCCAGTTTCCCAACACCATTTATTAAATAGAGAATCCTTTCCCCATTGCTTGTTTTTGTCAGGTTGTAGATGTGTGGCATTATCTTTGAGGCCCCTGTTCTGTTCCATTGGTCTATATCTCTGTTTTGGTACCAGCACCATGCCGTTTTGGTTACTGTAGCCTTATAGTATCATTTGAAGTCAGGTAGTGTGATGCCTCCAGCTTTGTTCTTTTTGCTTAGGACTGTCTTGGCTATACTGGCTCCTTTTTGGTTCCATATGAAATTTAAAGTAGTTTTTCTAATTCTGTGAATAAAGTCAATGGTAGCTCAATGGGAATAGCATTGCATCTATAAATTACTTTGGGCAATATGGTCATTTTCATGATACTGAGTCTCTACCCATGAGCATGGAATGTTTTTCCATTTGTTTGTGTCCTCTTTTATTTCATTGAGCTGGTAGTTCTCCTTGAATAGATCTTCACACCCCTTGTAAGTCGTTTTCCCAGGTATTTTATTCTTTTGGTAGCAACTGTGATTGGGAGTTCACTCATGATTTGGCTCTCTGTTGTTGGTGTAAAAGACTGCTTGTGATTTTTGCACATAGATTTTGTACCCTGAGACTTTGCTGAAGTTGCTTATCAGCTTAAGGAAATTTTGGGCTGAGACGATGGGGTTTTCCAAATATGCAATCATGTCATCTGCAAACAGAGACATTTTTACTTCCTCTCTTCCTATTTGAATACCCTTTATTTCTATCCATTGCCTGATTGCCCTGGCCAAAACTTCCAATACTATGATGAAAAGAAGTGGTAAGGTAAGACATCCTTGTCTTGTGCTGGTTTTCAAAGGGAATGATTCCAGCTTTTGCCTATTCAATATGATATTGGCTGTGGGTTTGTCATAGTTCTTACCATTTTGAGATACGTTCCATCAATACCTAGTTTATTGAGAGTTTTCAGCATGAAGGGGTGTTGGATTTTATCAGAGGCCTTTTCTGCATCTATTGAGATAATGATGTGGCTTTTGTCATTGGTTTTGTTTATGTGGTGAATTACATTTATTGATTTGCATATATTGAACCAGCCTTGCATCCCAGGGATGAAGCTGACTTGATCGTGGTGGATAAGCTTTTTGACGTGCTGCTGGATTCAGTTTGCCAGTATTTTATGGAGGATTTTCACATTGATATTCATCAGGGATATTGGCCTGAAATTTTCTTGTTGTTGCTGTGTCTCTGCCAGATTTTGGTAACAGGATGATGCTGGCCCCATAAAATGAATTAGGGAGGAGTCCTCTTTTTCTATTGTTTGGAATAGTTTCAGAAGAAATAGTACTGGCTCCTCTTTGTACCTCTGGTAGAATTCAGCTATGAATCTGTCTGGTCCTGGGCTTTTTTTGGTTGGTAAGGCTGTTAACTACTGCCTCAATTTCAAAACTTGTTATTGACCTATTCAGGGATTTGACTTCTTCCTGGTTAGTCTTGGGAGGCTGTATGTGTCCAGGAATTTATCCCTCTCTTCTAGATTTTCTACTTTATTAGCACAGAGTTGTTTGTAGTATTCTCTGATGATTTATACTTTGTATTTCTGTGGAATCAAAAAATATGAAATGCTTCACTAATTTGCATGTCATCCTTCTGCAGAAGCCATGCTAATCTTCTTTGTATCGTTCCAATTTTAATGTATGTGCTGCCAAGGTGAGCACCAATCAACATTTTTAATTTGTTTTTTGGTTTTGTGGTTTTGCTTTTTTACTGATTCTTCCAAGTTGGCAGGAATGCAATACATTGAGCACCCATATATTATTGACAAGAGAGACTTTGACAACATTGTTTTTCAAAGGGTCCTTTCAATTTTAGAAATCAAGCTTGTGAAATAGCCTTCATATGAACAGAAAAATATCCTATACATAAAATATTTCCAAATTTGAAAATACTAAGATTCAGCAATAATGGAATGTTGGGCAACTGATGGTACAAATCACTAAATGAAATATTATGTAGCTATCAAAAATGATCATTAGATTTATACAATAACGTAAGTGAAAATGTAACAAAAAATTAAGATAACACTCATGCAAAACAAGCAGAGAGGACAGGCACGATGGCTCATGCCTGTAATCCCAGCACTCTGGGAGGCCAAGTTCAGCGAATCACCTGAGGTCAGGAGTTCGAGACCAGCCTGGCCAACATGGTAAAACCCCATCTCTACTAAAAATACAAAAATTTGCCAGGCATGGTGCCATGCACCTGTAGCCCCAGCTACTGAGGAGGCTGAAATGGGAAAATCACTTGAACCCAGAAGGTAGAGGTTGCAGTGAGCCAAGACTACGCCACTGCACTCCAGCCTGGGCAACACAGCAAGACTCCATCTCAGAAAAACAAACAAACAACAACAACAACAAAACAAGCAGAGAGTTGTGCAAAAAATGCTAACAAGGAAAACTGGATTTGAATGTTGACTCCTCAGTTTATTAACAGTGTGAATTTAGATGGATTGATCTCTATGGCTCAATTTCCTCATTTTAATGACAATGCAATAATAATGATAAAAACAATAACTTATTTCATGGGAGTGTTGTGGGGAGGTAAATGAGTATTGTGGCTGAAACAGGATAAGCATGATATAGTGATTATTACAAGGGTGATGGAGCTGTGGTGTTTTGTCCTACTTCCCCAAATCCTCACTGGCGTGTAACGTCACACACGTCGTCATGGTGATCTCCTCATCTCCCTCCCCAGTCTTCTGTAAGAAATATCTGGAGCTGGATCATTTCAGCTATGGTAGCCTCACTCTCTTCCTAGGAATTCCCATAGTGCTTCCTATTTGAAATGACTGCTCAGTAATGTTTTTATTTTGCCTGGAGTTCATCACTGCCTTTTATACTTACATGCTCATCTCCAGTTCCCCGACCATCGCTTTCAGGAAAGGGGCATCTTCAGCCCCTCTCATGACCCCTTCAGCATACAACCAAATGTATCTCAATAGGTTAATTTAATTTTCAAAACATGTTGATTTGACAGTCATATAGATAGAAGCATGTAGCGTATCCAGAATTCAATAAATATTAGCTCATTTTCTGTTTATTTTTTAACTTTTATTTTAGGTTCAGGGGTACATGTGCAGGTTTGCCATACAGGACAACTCATGTCATGGTTGTTTGAGGTACAAGTTATTCTAGTTTCTTTCTTAATCATATTTTATTTCAATAGTCACAAAAGAATAAAAAAATAAAAAAACCTTTGGGTTGTTTTTTTTTGGTTTGTGTTTTACATTTGCTTAGTTTTACAACTCAGTAGAGCCTGCAAACAGACAACATTCTGTTTTCCAAAATGAACTAAGTTTGTATTTTCCCTATACAGAAATAAATGTAATAAGCCAGGCCAGTGGTGATTAATTTCCAGAACAAAGGATATACCAGGTGGAAAGCCAGAGGGTAGGCAGTATAAGACTTCTAGGAAAAGAACCCTTTGGAAGGCAGAATTCCATTCAAATTCAATTAAAACTATGCTCTCAATCCAAAGGTAAATGATTCTGCTTAAAGTTTTTTGTGCCCACTATTTCCCCAGGGCAAGAGCCCTGCAAACAGATACCTTTAATTGTGCCAGCTCCTTTTGTGTTTTGCACAATTAGACATCTCCAATTATATAAACACGTACACGATGACAGTCTTTGGTTATGGAGGTATTTACAGGAAAAAAAAGGTAACTTTAACTTTGAGAGCTGGTTTTAGGACAAACAAGATTAAAGCTTATATGGATACACAAAATAATAGACTAATGCTATTGTCTGCTTCCCTTAAATTATTTTATTAGAAGGAACATATTAATTATAATGAAAGCAAACTTGGACTCTGTGGGTTTCTAAAGAAAATTCCTTTGTAGCATCATAGCAGGATTTCCTACCATTTTTCTCTTTCTGATGAAATTAACTCCCCATAGTTGGTCAGCAGGATAATCTAATTTTAGCCAATCAGCTTGGGAGCTGCCGTTGACCTCACAAAGGAAGAGAAAGGTATCTGCAGTCATAGCAACCACCCGCTCAGCTCCGAACATCTCTCTGGACCCTTCCGCCTAATGACAGACACCGGCTTGCTTCTTAGATGATTAATCTTTTCCCCTGTGAACCTCCTTGAATACATTAGCCAAACAAGTCTGATAAATTTGTTTATCCCAAGACAATCATTAGAAAATTACCTGCAAAAGTAATTCTCACTAGAGCCGTTTGTGAATGGAAAGCCATATGGCAGATAAAAACAGAAATATGCAATAAAATCTCTTGCTATATGTCACAACAGGTTAGGAAACTTTTTTCCCCTTTGAACTTTGCCATTTTTTGCAAAATCACAAAAGCACGTTAGCCTAAAAGCCATTTTCCATGAGCAAAAGAACGTTTATTCTAGTGACTAGTTACTCCTGCAATCAACACTACATGCCTACTGTGTGCTGGGCGCTGGGGATGCACCAGTGAGTATGAGCTATCACTGGCTTCCACAATCTCACATTCCAGTGGGAGGAGACAGATGTGTAAACAGATAATCACATCACACGATAAGGGCAGGAACAGAGGCAAAGCCGCGGGCTCTGAGAGCATTGGGAAGAACTGGATAACAGTTTTCCAGAGTCAACTAAGATTTCACTGCAGCAACATTCAGATTAGGCAAAATCGCAGGACTTTTTCAAGAGATAGAACATTCTTGGCAAAGAAAAGAGCATGGGAGGAGCACGGACTTATGGACAGTTGTGAGAGACTGGCAGCAAACGGCAGCAGCTGGGTATTGGCTACCTTTTCTTCCAGGAAGTGGGACTAAAATGTGGATTGCAAATGGGTTAAAGTACCTTAAGGGGTAGCATGTGTTAGGGCCTCAAGAAGACTGAAACAATGGGGAGAGATAGGAAGGACCAATTTGGAAATTCTTTCTGAGGTTGCATCAAAAGAATAAAATTGTTGGGTGCTCCTCCCTCACTTACGGAAAGAAAGAGAAGACACTGAGCACGTGTTGCAGCCACACTGCTGATGTGGGCCATTTCCACACACAGCCACTAGATCACCACGGAGTGGCCAGTGCATTGAGCCAGAGAGCAGGCTGAGTTTCCGTGTGGTTGGGTGCTCCAAAATGAGAGAAGGTTTTCAACGCAGCTGATGAGACAGCTGTAATGACTTGAGTAGGGCTATTAGTGTGGGCAGAATCTTATGGACACCATAGGCTTTTATAAACCAACACTAGACAAACTCCACTAAACTCAGGGCTTGAGAGCCAGCTGTCTGGACCAGGAGCCACAGCTGTCTGAGTCTAGGCATTGGTGCTGTGAGTGGTAGGACAGCTGGGCCCACATCAGTTCTACGGCCAGGGCGATTTCACCGAGGGGGGCTTCAGAAACGCTGACTGGAATGAGAGGCATCATGTAGGTAAGCCTATCATTGACCGCGTTCTCCAAAACAACCCAGGAGCCTTCTCAGGAGATGCGCTCGAGGTCCAGACTGCCCAAGCCTGAGGATTTCCGCATCTGCAGGCCTGTGTGAGGAGTCCAGTCCAGGTTTCTAGTTTTCTCATGCCTTGCAAGAAGAACGTTGCCCACCACAAATCTGCTACACAGAAGCCTCAGAAAGGAGCCAATCATTAGACTGAGGAGTCTGTGTTTTCTATATTTGCCAAATTTTTAATAGGAAGCATGTATTAGTTTTGTAATGGAAACACGTTTTTAAAAGATAGAAATTTCAACATAAATTACCTCAAAAGCTATTCTGTAATAGCAAGTACACAAGTTGGACATAATTTTCAGAAGCACTTACACAATTATCTGCATGAGCCTGTGCATGGCAGCTCACACCTGTAATCCCAGTGCTTTGGGAGGCTAACACAGGGGGCTTGCTTGAGCCCAAGATGTCAAAACCAGTCTGTGCAACAGAGTGAGGACCTGTCTCAACACGCAACTCCCACCAACCACCTTGCCACCCCCACCAAACTTCTGCACTATACCAGGTCCTGTGCCAGGCCCTTCACAGGTCTGAGTCATGTAATCCTCATAGCAGTCCCTGGAGAGGGACTCCATTTTACCAAAGAAGAAACAGCATTGGAAATGCACAACTGAAAGGAAGAAAAGGAAAGAAAGAAAAAAGGAAAAGAAAGAAAAAAGAAAAAGAAAATATTTTGTCAAGATTCCAGATAAAGAGAATATTGCCTGGAAACTAGGTTACTACTAAAGATTATTTTATTTTGAATTTCCATCCAATATGTCAGGCCCTGGGCTACGAAAAGAAACAGGTGTGCGGGTGGGGAGGCCGGCGCATGCACAACTGAGTACAAGATGTGAGACGTTCCTTCAGAGTGGGCTGTGTGAAATGCAGGTGTTTGCCCACGTGACTGTGTCCGAGCAGGCAACAGCTCCACTTCACTCTGTGCCAAACTTCATGCTTGAGACCTGATCAATAGCACTTCGTTTACACTGCATGACAACCTCAAGGGGTGCTTATTTTCTCTGACACTTTATACACGAGGAAAATCGAGGTTAGAGGGCTTATCCAAAGTCAAATAACTATTAAATCATAAATCTAGAATATGAGCCCAGGTCTATCTAATTCCAAAGTTTGGGTGCTTTTCACTACATCGTAAAATTAGAAAAATACACTCAAGGCTGAGCACGGTCACTCATGCCTATAATCCCAGCACTTTGGGAGGCCTACATGGGTGGATCACAAGGTCAG